CAATAATCTAAATTACATCCAGAGAGAAGGTGTATGCATAAGCTCATCGGTCGCTCCGTTGTTAGCTGAGATATACCTCAACAGTTTATTGGATAGAGTGTTGTTTAACAGCTAGGATGATTGAGTTGTCACCCAACGTGGGCTTCATCAGAAGATATGTAGATATTTTTCTCTGCACGTTTGAAGAAGGGAAATTGGAGTATCTTGAAAAGCTTATTAAGTCAACGGCCCCGGAGTTGCATTTCACAGTAGAAAAACCAGAGAACATGTTGCAGTTTTTGGACTTGCACATTGTGGGTCGCTACCTGATCGACGCCCGATCGGGACGTGCCTCGCTCGCTCCCCAAGAAGTCACCGACACAGTGCGTGTTCAAAAGAGTTTACTCAAACTCACGTCGTCTGCGAGCCGCTCGTCGCTGTCGTCCCAATGACCTCCCTGACCGGTCCCTTTCGAAGTCGGCAGCCCAAGACCCCTTCCTTTGTCTTCGTTCCCCTTTTTAGACCTTCCCAAGTCCTTGCCCCGCCGACCGTCCAATCGGGAACCTTGCTGCGACCGACCCTCCGACGTCAGCGCTGGGTGAGGGGGCGCTTGCCCCATCCCTCCCGGAGAGCTCGGACTTTCCGCGACTGGACGGCGACGTGAAACGGGAAGGTCACGGGGAACGAAGGAGCGCCCGGCAGCACGGCGACAGGGACCGGCGAGGTCACGGAGCGCGGAGGAGCCAGGGAGAGGGTCCCCACAACATTCAGGTGAGAAATTGCTTATGTTGGGAATACGGTAAGATGGCTAAACCGGTGCTTCCCAAACAAAGTTGTCACTCTAAAATTATTAAGGCGGGAGTTGCAAAATCATTAATTGGTAATGGGCTAAAAAGGTCATGTACCCATTTCATGAGTCAAGCTTTAAAAAGACAATGGGGAAGACTGGAGGACGCGGGGTATGAAGAAACTTTTCTAAAACGACAACATTCTATTCAAATCAGAGACAAGCGGGGTGAACCAAGTGTGAGGAACCGACGAGTTGCTATACCGTATTTTCACGATATTTCCCATAACATAAAAGCGTCGGCGAAAAAATTTGGCGTAGAAACAGTGTTCACATCCGATTTTAAGTTATGCAAACTTACACCTTTTGAAGCGAAACGGGAAGTTTGCCAGAAGGCACATCGCAAAAAGTAGGTACCGTGTGAGAATTCTGTGGTTTATGAAATTTTTTTGGAGTGTGGCTTTAAATACGTAGGTCAGACGTCCAGATGTCTAAATGATAGACTGACGGAACACAAACGGTATGTGAAAAACAACGCGTCCAATTCCGAGTTAGCCAGGCACCTGCTAGAGTAATAATTGTAAAGCCAACTGGTCTGAAACGGAAGTAATTCCCAAAGAACGTAATGATATGAAACGTGTAGGTCAGGAAACGATTCGTATAAAAACGTCTGGCAACTGTATAAGTCGGGCGTCCTTGTAGTTTGGGAATGCGTAAACGAGCGCTTGCAAGCGTAAACGATTTCTACGCTTGTAATCTTTTTTTTTTTTTCTTTTTTTGTAGTATTAACGGTGTTTATATGTGTATCCTTGGACTTGTTCGAGAAAGTCGCAGTGTTTAGCCAATTGTGGTTCGTTGTAGGAGGGCAATGTCATTCTCAGTTTTGGAGATGGCCCCAGTTCCGGCTGCTAGCAGTCTCTAGTATTGTTTCTTTGGACTAAGTGAGTTGTTAGAGGAAACGCAACTTTGAAGGTCAAACCCTTTCTTAGTGTTCAGTAGTGATTCACCTACGTTCGCCGGGTGGCGGTGGTTATGCTAGAATGTGACCCTTTCTGTGAGTGTTTCACAGCCGAGGTCAAGGGAGATAAGAGAAGGTTTACCCAAATTTCATTGTCCTCCTATCATTCTTTTTTTTTTTTTTTTTTTTTTTTGTAGAGACAGCGTTGGAGTTGTGGTATATAGAGCGTGCACGAAATAAACTTTGCAGCCGAGTTCGAGACGTTGCCTCCTCTTTTTCTACCTTCTGTTGTGTTCTCTTTTCTGCCCCAGTCTCAGGTTTACAATCATGTTCAACTTACACCAGCTCGCCTGCACTCTATTTTTTCTGACCAGTAGTAAGCCCAGGATCAAAGACTTCGCATATTGCGCGCTTTCGGCACCGCGAGTCGCCCCCATAGGTGGAGGTGGTTTTCGCGTCGTCCACTCAAAATATGACGCACTGATATTTGGTTACTCTCTGCTTGCCCGCTGGCTTGCCAGAACCCGAAGAGACATGGAAACGGCAAAAAAAGGTGGACTCTTAACTACGATTGCAGGACACTCCGGCGGTTTTTTCATGGTCGCCGATTTGCCTCAAAATAAGCTCAACACATCGATAGACATGGCTCTACGAGTTCCCCAAGTATTGAGTGAAAATAAAAAGAATTCGCGAAGTTATTGAATTTTCGAATTTCGTTTTCACCGTGTTTCTCAAACCGGGAGCCCCTACTGGCAACATTGAAGAGTGACGACAGAAATGGTACGAAGTGGGCAGTAAGCCATGTTTCCAACTGATTACAAGACGTTTGATGGTGAGAAAAGAGTGTTTGGTAATTGATTCACTGAGAAGCACGCAAAAGACACTCGACATACTCTGTTTAAGACTACATGCACGACCTGAAAGTCTGTACCATGTGTGACGACACACCACTGAAGAGCGCGCGAAATTTCGAATGCTGGTTTCGGCATAATCTTCATTTACGGTTTTCGCAATTGCTATTTTGAATTTCGAGAAAATGAATAGCATACCATGACGACTGAAGTCCGGGTAGTCAAAACATGCAATTTGTTTAGGTAGTTCAAAAAACGGCCGGAGTACCCCTTTAAGTATCTATTCCACGATTACAAGAACTTCTATATTAACCTGTATTCAACATTCTCACAAGGTGGAGAACACTGAAGCACACTGGCAACAGCGTTAACAGATTGCATTTTTAACTTTCATGCGGTCAGGGTAGAAAACCGCCAATGCTATCAATTAGGTGTGATCCTTTGAAGGGACACAACGGAATTTGAAATATTCCAGTCGTGTCCGAAAATAGGTTGAATATGATCCACAATATCCGTAAATGACAATCGCACGTTTGCATTTTGAGTCTGGGTAGCTGTATTTTTCGTTATAAACGGCCCACTCTGGCAAGCGCTCGAAGGCGGCCCAGCGGAGACCACGTGACATCCAACGCAATCGTGACGTAGGTCGGCTCGGGACGAGCAAAGCTACGGCGAGGCTGACGTCGAGAGGATGGCCTAGTCGTTCCAGCCACCGAAGCGGCTGCTTTTGTACGAATTTTGAGTGACGGGTTAATCGTCTATACACCAACTCATGTTTACAAATTTATTGGTCTTGGCAACCCAAGACCAATACCAACTAGCCCAACACACAGCTTTGATAAGCTTTACAAACAAACCGGAGCGCCCAGAGCGCCCCTAGCGGACGCCATCGGCGCCGCGCATGCGTGAGGGGGTGTGGGCAAAAAGCTCGCCGTCGCCCATAAACAAACCATTGAAATGCGATGTTGTCGGCGCCGGTGTGAGTCCCCGCGCTCTTTTTCGCGTGGGAACTGTTGATTCTACGTCCTCCTAACGATGTCTGACTACTTGAGCAGCGTCAGCGAAATTAACGAGGCTCGTTACACCGCAAAACTTCGCGTGAATAATCTGACATGCGGCGATTCATTCCGCGTGGACGCCGCAGAACGTACGCTAAAGCCTGATTCACGTGATAAGATTTCGCTTGCAATTTTCAGTAGCGACGTCGCTCGGACTGCAAAAGCGTGAACCGTAGCTGAGATGGTCGACGGCGATACTGAAAAAATTGAAAGCAGAATCTAACCAAGTGAATCAGGCATAACAAGTCGGTGATGGCCACTGGTAACAATGATCAATATCTCCTTGTATCTACTGTTTACGTCGAGCCTGCTTACCAACCTTCAAACTTAAGTCTCTTAAGGCCTGCACTTTATTCGTATCGAAAGTACCGGGCCCACGTTTGGTCTACGGGCCGGTGTCCTCTAAAAGAGCAGACGACAAGCAGAAACGTTAGAAAGAGCAGACGACAGTTCGAACGATCAGGCGACCGTTTGAACTTGAAGACGCACTAAACGTAGTCCGCAGGTGGTCCGTACAACTTGACGGTTTTGCGGCGTTCATTTTGGAATCAAACAAATAAATTTGATGGCCAGTGGTATCCGTGAATTTAACTCAAAATGCTTCCCGCCCAAGCAATCGTGGTCCGACGGCGTCTGGTTTTCCCTTTTCACGGCACATATCCGCGTTCTCGGACGAACCGAGCGCATGAAAACTGACCTTCAAACCTTTCTCGACTCTCTTGGTACAGCCCCAGTCGCAGCAATTTTGACAAGGCAAGTTTTTGTCTGGTTGGTGGTTCCTTTCAAAACAACGCAGGAATACACGTCTCAAATGGGCACTTCCGCCCACAGCCCCAGACCGGAAGTGCGTCCGACGCGCCACCACCGCGCCGTGACGTAACAGATGAGTTCGTGTATAATCTTGTAGGACAATAGACTTCTGCGACACACAAGACATTCTCGGGAAGAGGGGAGTTCCTCTTTCCCCTCTTCTCGTCGTGGCCGGAGGCGAGACACTCACCGTCAGTAGCTGTCAAGGTTCCTAGACGGGCATTATAAGCGACGCGTTAGCGACATCCACCAGGTGCTCTTTGCTAATTGTTTAATTAGTTTTAAAATTCCTGTTCGACTTTTTTTAACAAGATATTGGTATGTTCGATGTGATACTGCTCCTTTGAACACAGACCAAAAAATGAGCGCCGAAATTTCGTTGCAGTACCCCTTTAACAATATGCCAATATTGTGCCCCCCCCCCCCCCCCATATCAAACATGAAAAACAAAAATCCGAGATCACTTGTGCCAATTAGCATTCAGTGCGAAGAATACAAAGGCATCGCTACCGAACACCAAACTTACCCACTCCAATCAAAAACAAAAACCTCAAGAGTATAAAAGATATAAATCCTTTATTTTGGCAGGTCACGTGTTATTTCGTTCCGATCACAAAACGCCGTAATCCGATATGGTCTTCACTTGGGCCAATGAACCAATATTTCTAATTTTTGCCAATCGTCACTTTCTTAACTTTGTTGCATACAAAACTGGTGGGGAATCACCAAATACATCTTGCCATTTCAAATCTGAAATTAAACGCACCAGGAGAATTCGTGTATGCCCTGGGAAACCTAGTCGTACGCACAATTCTATTCGGATTTCCCCCACCCAAAAAAAAAACTTTGCAAAAATTTGGCTTGGCCTAAATGGTCGAATGCATTTCTCGTGTGCACCCGTGGGGAGAGCAGCCGAGACGATGGGCAACCCCGGGAGGCCAAATAACCCGAGGTTTCGAAACTTCCGAAACCCAAACCGCGTCCGAGCGAACCGGGAAGTGACTGCAGCCCTGCGGAGGCGGCCCCCACCGGCGCCCTCGGACGAGGTGCCTTGGCCGTCTTTCCCCACGGGCCGTGGCACTTTGCAAGTCTACACAAGGCAGACTTCTGAAGGTGGTGTGAATAAGAGGACTGGAGAGGAAAAACAAAATGGCTCCCACGTGAAAAAGAAAAGAAAATAGAACAGGGAAGAACAAGAACTAGAAAACAGTCAAAAAGGGAGGCATGAGTTAGGGGCACCACTGAAGTAGTTTTAACGCACACACGCTCCATACCGCACAGTAAACAGTCTCAAATGTACACACTTGCTCTCTTGCAATGACTCATTCACGTGGACAACACGCTGTCCCACATTCCTGTCTAGCAGTCCAGAAGATTCACTAGTCTCTTCAATTCAAAAAGTTATTTGTTTCGCATTCACCACACAGGCACTCAAAAAAAAAAAAAAAAAACCCTAGACTTGCTTTTGGCAAACTCCAACAGTGGTGCATATTTACATTGAAACGTTTGGGAGAAGAAACAAAATTAAAACAAGATTCCGAGCCTCTCCATCCACCATCGAAAATAAAAAGAGCCCGTTTTCTCACTTGCCACGCAACTGCATGGGCAAAAGAAAAAAAAAGTCTGTTACACTCTTACCTAAAGCAAAATTTTTAGGGAAATAAAAAAAAAAATAGATGAACACAAGATTAATCTATTTCTTAATGTGCTCCAACCCAATCACTGTAAAGAAATTCAGCAAATTTATAGTAGTGAACATATTTGGGAGCAAGTAGAATTTCCACATTTCATGCAGCAGATTTCGAGAAAAAAATAGGCCAAAAATATTGTGACGATGAATGAACAGTGGATAAAGGTCGCCCCCTCCCTCACCCTCCCCAACACACTTCCCTTCTTGGCCAAATGCTACCGTCAGTTGTTCACAAAACCAGACTGCCGGCGCCACTGCAATAGCGATCTCTTACTTTTTCTGACGTGTTGGCACCACCCCACCGCTGAGAAAAACATAGGTGAAAAGTGCAGCAGTCCCTGTTGCTTCTGACTGTGGTCTCCTTTGGGGGTAGAGGGAGAGAGAGCCCTCCCCTCGTCCCCCTGTCCCTTGTAATAGAGTCCCACGCAACAAACAAAGAAAATTCCCCACACAGGACTTGCGGCGGCCTTGGCGGAGGGGTGGTCGGGCCTCTTCGAAACGCCAGTCGCCTCAACGATCGCCTCTTTTCATTTGTTTGGTCCTGTACACGAGAGGCACGGCAGGCGGGCAAACAATTTGGGGCACGACGGAGGAAGCCAGTCCTGGTGAGCATCCGCAGAGCGACGACAACGAAACGGAGAACGAAAATGTTTCTCCTCGGCCAAGGCCACGTCCAGCTCGGGGAGGGAGGGGCTCCTTTGACTTGCGAATAAATTATGAGGGATGAGCACTTCAATAAATACTTGTTCACTCAGGCACGCTCAGTTCTCTTCCTCTCGTTTCTTGTCGACTTGAGCACAGGCACGCACACACATCCACACTCGCTCTTCTGTACAATATGGAAACAGACTTCTGGGAAGTGGTGTACAAAAAGTTCTGCAAATGAAAAGAAAAAAGGAGGCAGCGGTTACTGGTGGTGCTCCAAGCACAGCACGAAGTACCTTGCAATGATACACCAGAGAATAAAAAAAAAGTCTCTAGATGGACTGGCTAAAGTCGTATGCCTCTAGGTTTCACATTTTTCCCAATTCTAGTATAAAGCTTGCGGGTTACTTTTGTTAAAAGCCGGAAATTAATCTGGCTTCGTCGACTCAATGGGCTTTTAAGTCCAATAGACTCAAAATATTGAACACTTTATTCTAAACCTAGGTTAACGAAAACTGTGGAGCAGTCGTGACAAACGCACAAGCAACTTTATGGCAAGCACTACGCATTAATTAGAAAGCTACACCTCTAAACCTAACAAACATTTTTTTGCCGAGTGTATAAACTCCGCGACTGAAGTTACTTTCCCTGCGGCTCAGGGTCGTAGTTATACCGACCCTAGCGCGATGCAACCAACATTTTAATCATTGCTGTAGCAGCCACTGCTGCTACTTGTCCTCTCTCTTTAAAAGGGTCCAGGATGTGTAGAAGGTCACCCATCTCCCTTGAGGGAAGAGTGGACTAGAAATCAGTGAGTAGCGAGATTTAATCTACAACGAAATTGGCATCAGGTAGTGCCATATGAGCCAAGCCTTCACAGATTCGAATACCAATGCTTATTACAATGCAGGGCACTAAAAAAACCCACTTGTACTAAGAAAGTAACACCTGCATCTAGTCTCCCAAAAGACACTCAGAAATAAAGAGCATCTAGCAAATGCCACCAGCACTAATGACCACATGGCCATGATAAACATACTATGTAGGAGTTGAAGAATGTATCGGCCTACTTGCAGCATGCTAGCTGGCTGAACTGACAAGACAACCATTTGAATCTGGCAATGTCTTGCATCACGTAACCAAAACACTTTGCTCAATGCCATGGGACGCAAGTCGTCAGTCGACAAGGAGGATTACATTATGAGATGGTAATTATGTTACAGACGCATCAGCAGGAAGAGGTTTGTAGTGGACAAAGCCGGCAGTACATGATGCAAGATACTGGAAGTTGAAATGACAACCTGCGCGGTTTGTGGGCTGTCATCGACGTCATCAAACAAGCTTAGAGGGGCACTCGAGTGGATTCCGAGATTGTGTATTTAAGGTGACAACACAATCTAAGGGGGGGAGGGGAGGAAGTGGCCAAGTGGGCTCACGCGTCTCAGCTCGGAGCGTGGAGCAAAAGCTTGCGCTGGGAACCTCCTGGGTTCGATCCCCGCCGCCCCCGCCCGTTTCGATCTGGATGAGTTTCGTACCGGCAAGCGTTTGTGTGATCACTACTGCGTGATGCACGTTAAAAATCCCATGTTAACAGTTGTACTGCACTGGCTAAATTTCTCATCTACAGCTAAGAGATTGATTACCCATTGAGGCGCATCTCCATCAAGGCTGTATAAACATAAAGAGCAAACCAACTTAAGGGGGGGGGTGCACAATTCAAAAACGACGCAGGCCAAAAAATTGTTTCTTGGGATTTGGGATTTGCGCAGGTTTTTAACATCTGGCAGACAGGTTTTCAATATCTGGCATCATCGCATGGGTTGCTGTTTTAAGCACATCTCGCAGTGTCATGTCCGTGGGCCGCATTTTGTCCACGCTTGATCTACAGGCTCTAAGCATCCTAAAATCCTTCAATTCCACTTCTGGGTGGAAAATTTCCCAATTAAAAAATCCAATAAAAAAACGTGATACGCCCCTTCTGTACCTTGAAGCAGACACCGGGGGGTGCCGTCAGACAGTTTTTTTATTAACTGCTGTATTAAAGGGGGGGGTGCAACTATTTCCGGACTTCGGTCAAAGATTTCTGGAAGTTGCCCTCCGACACTTCTGAAGTAAAGAACAGAAAATTGATTTCACCTGCGTGTCCTAGTTGTTGCATAAAAAAAAGATAAAGATTGGCATTTCGGGCACTCCTCAACTCACTCCCAGCCTTCAGGGTGACACCTGGTCCCCCTCCTAGTGAGGTCATTCGGAGTGCCGTGTAGCTTCCCGTGTGCTCCCTCGGAGAGCCCTTCCTCTCCCTCTCTCTGCTGACATTAGCGGGCGTTATGCTGCAGCTTAGAGCCGAGCGAGGTCACGTGATCGTTTCGCCGTAGCTGCCACTTGGGGCTGCAGGTGGGGGAAAAAGCTTGACTTTTGCTTTGCAATTATGCAGCAGAATCGCGACATTTTTGATGAAGGAGGTGTTTTCATTATGCTCCGGGACACAATAAACAATGACGATATGCAAATTCTTTTAATCATAAAATTGTTGCACCGTTTGCACAGTTTGCGAAAAATGTCAAAAAAGTCCGTTTTTAGAAAGTTCAATATTTCACTTCCACGGGCATTTCTCCTTGCAATCACGAAGTTTTTCCGCTGAAAACTATATCTAAGTGGCCTAATTAATTACTTACAGCAGCTCAGGTACCACAATATCTACTAAAAACATGGAAAAACAAGTTTTTTTGCACTCCCATAATCCGCGACGACACAACCGAGCGCAGCCATCTTGGTATCAAATGAAAGAGCATTTCGTCATCCACCCGTTTCCCGCGTCTGCTCTCGTCTCCCACGTAAAGCAGACAAAAAAAAAAAACTTCAACCGCCCATAAACAGGAAGAGCGGCGTCCGATTGGACCCCATCGCCACGTCACCCACGGCGCGTTTCGTAATTGGCCGGCTCCATGGTTGCCCCTCGCAACCGCCGCCGGGAGAGCGGCGAGTCGTCTGCTACCTGCGTGCGCGAAGCCACTCTTCCATTGCTCTTTGTTCCAGCAAGAAGTGTGCATCTTATATTCGTTTTGCCTCGCGAATATCGGCTTGAAAGTAACAGTTTTCAGCTAGTTTTCCTTTGGATATTTCATCGCAATGGGACACTCGTTCCCACAGAAGCAGAAAACGAAACAATGTTTCAGCGAACACAAACGCAAGGCCTGGAATTGCGGCAGAAAGAAACCGAACGCTCCGGACGATGTCCCTTCGAACGAATCAAAGGTGATTTTCAAGTCGTCTCGTGCAGCATCACCGGTGACCCAGGATGCCACTGAACTCCCTTCTACCTCAAGTGCTGGATGTTCTACGGAGTGGTCACATTGTACCTCGCTACGTGACTACCAAGGAGGCGCAGGCATTGTCAAAAACTATTGCGGAGCGTCATCAAGCCCACTCCTGAACACCCACCGAACAAAGGTATAGCCAGACGGAGAAGGAGGCTTTGGCAATCACCTGGGCCATTCAGCGATTTGATGAATACATCCGAGGTCTACAGTTAGCGGTGGAGACCGACCACCTGCCTTTGACATCTTTATTCGGTAGCATGGATGTAGATATGCTGCACCAAGGGTTCAACGCCTCCACCTTAAATTGATGATGGCGACGGACGACACTTTGTTCAGGGCGCCGTTGGAACAGGCATCAGCGGTCAGTGCCGTGGAGCTCTTCGTCAAGAGCGTGGTCCAGGGCATCCAGGACAAGTCACCAGTGAGACTTCACAGGTTGCATCAAGAGCAAGCTTCAGACGGCAAGTGAGTCATTCTCTTGAAGTACTGTGAACAAGGCTGGCCTGTGAAACCTAAGGTGGCGGTGAATCTCCTCAAGTACTGAAAACATAGGGGCGAGTTCACGGCGTGCGACGGGTTGCTCCTCAAGGGGAGTTGCCTAGTCGTCCCAGCATCACTTAGGGTGAGATTCTTGGGTTCATCCACGAGGGTAACCAATGCATGAATCGTTGCCGCGCTTGAGCACGTGACTTGGTGTGGTGGCCTGGTCTGAGTAAACAGATCAAGTCCATGGTGGAGGACTGAACGGTGCGCTACTACAAGGATTCAGCGTGCTGAACCTCTCATCTCATCACCTTCCCCCGAAGTCCCCTGGCAGCAGCTGGGAATAGATTTGCTTCATTTCAACGGTCGAGACCTCTTGTTGATTGTTGACTACTTTTCGCGGTACCCAGAAGTTATCACACCCAAGAGCACTACATGTTACTTAGTACTTGGTGATCACTGCTGTGAAGGGCGTGCTTGCGCGTTTTGGCAATTCACAGGTCGTTTGCAGCAACAACGACTCGCAGTTTGCAGCTGCTGAGTTTGCCAACTTCGCGCGGACTACGGTTTCATGTACACAAAAAGCAGCCTGCACTACCCGCAGTCCAATGTGCGATCCAGACCGTCAAGGACCTACTGCAAAAGGGCGACGATCCGTTCCTGGCACTCGCAGTCTCCAGGGATACACCGAGGAGATTCGGATTCAGCCCGGCGCAACTTCTGATGGGACGGCAACTGCGGACCAGGATGCTCAAACCACCAGAGAAGTTGAAACCCGAGTGGTCGTCGACGGAGGTGTTCCTCGAGAGGGACAGGCAGGACAAGCGTCGACAGATGGCTGATAACAATCAGTGGCATGTGGCGAAGGAACTGCGTGGGCTTGCTGGGGGCGACAAGGTGTGGGTAAAAGACTCCCTGTGCAGTGCGACGGTGCCGAGTCGAGCACAGTGCCCATGGTCATACATAGTGGAGATGCCACAAGGGGTTCTGCAGCGGAACCGGAAGCACCTGGTTCCGTACCGTCCAGGAGCCAGCCCAGTCACCTGGCCCGGAACCTCCCAAACATGAGCAGCATGGCCCCATCAGTCTGGCAGCCCCTGAGGTGGTGAGCCCAAGACCCCCGGTATCCCAACAGCCCGAAACAGTCCAGTGTGACCGGGCAGTTATCCCTCCTCGACGTTTGAATTTGTAAATAGGATTTTTATTAGAAGGAGAGATGTGGTGTGGCGCTAGTAACCTGTACTAATATACTCACCTAGATGGTGCCACGTGTTGTTAAGTTTGATGTGTAAATAAAGAAGTAAAGCAAGTCGCTTCAGTTTGCTACCAGCTCACAGCCTTGGAGTATGTTTCCTCTACAGTGGCCATTACCAACTTGCTTGTTCACACATTGTGTCAACAGTGTGGCAAACCTGGACCGACTCTGCA